AGTGCTTATTTGATTTTTCATTTGTTAATATTTGTATATACTTGGGTTGGCCTGGAGGGAGGGCCTCTAGTGCACAGGGAGCCACGCGCAGGGAGTGCCGGTCTTCTGGTTGGCTCGCTCCCTGCCTTGTAGGCACCCGGAAGGAGGGGCCCAGGCCCATGGGGAGCCATGGGCATGGAGCACTGGTTTTCAGACCAGCTTGCTCCCTGCCTCGTAGGCCCCCAGAGGGAGGGCCTCTGGTGCACCGGGAACCACGGGTGGGGATCACAGGTCTTCCTGTTGGCTCGCTCCTTGCCTCGTAGGTGCCTGGAAGGAGGAGCTCAGGGGCACGGGGAGCCACGGGTGGGAAGCACTGGTCTTTGGACCAGCTCGCTCCCTGCCTTGTAGGCCCCCAGAGGGAGGGCCTCCGGCACACAGGGAGCCACGGGCGGGGAGTGCCGTTCATCCAGCCGGCTCGCTTCCTGCCTTGTAGGGCCCTGGAGGGAGGGCCTCCGGCGCATGGGGAGCCACTGGCGGGGAGCGCCTGTGTTTCAACTGGCTCGCTTCCTGCCTTACAGGCCCCCAGAGGGAGGGCCTCCGGTGCACAGGGAGCCATGCGTGGGGAGCGCCAGTCTTCCAGCCGGCTCACTTCCTGTCTTGTAGGTGCCCAGAAGGAGGGCCCCAGGTGCACGGGGAGCCACAGGAGGGGAGCGCAGGTCTTTGCACCGGCTCGCTCCCTGCCTCGTAGGCCCCCAGAGGGAGGGCCTCCAGCACATGGGAAGCCATGGGCGGGGAGTGCCTGTCTCCCAGCCGGCTCGCTTCTTGCTTGGAGGTCTCCGGATGGAGGGGCCCAGGCACAAGGGGAACCACAGGCGGGGAGTGCCGGTCTTCGGACTGGCTTGCTCCCTGCCTCGTAGGCCCCTGGAGGAAGGGCCTCCGGCGCCTGGGAAGCCACAGGTGGGGAGCGCCGGTCTTCCTGCTGGCTTGCTTCCTGCCTCGTAGGCCCCCGGAGGGAGGGCCTCTGGTGCATGGGGAGCCACGGGTGGGGAGTGCCGGTCTTCTGGCTGGCTTGCTTCCTGCCTTGTAGGCCCCCGGAGGGAAGGCCTCCAGCACACGGGAAGCCATGGCAGGGACCGCCTGTCTCCCGGCCAGCTCACTTCCTGCCTCCTAGGCCCCTGGAGCAAGGGAAGCCACACAGCGTCGAGCGCTGTGAGCCCTGGCCCTCAGGCCAGCCGCCGCCGCTCAATGGAGAACTACCACAACACAGAGAAACAATGACACAATTGGCCCACCATGCACCGGCTGCAGATGCCTCCCCACGGATGTGTGTTAATCATTCAAACATGGAGAAACTCCTGGGAATACATGCCATACAATGGGCAACTCTTGCTCCTGCCACTGAGAACCAGAAAGGTCCAGAGTCAGAGGAGGAGCAGCTGCTGAACAAGGACTCAGAGAACATGAGAATGCAGACTAAGCCTGAGGAGTCAGAGGTCTGGTGGACTGGGGTCATGATAGCCGCTTAGAAGCTGTAAACCAGGAGGACCTTGCACAATACCTGCGGAGACTCCCTGGAAGCCATTCTTCTCCTGACAGTACAGGCAGTGGTGGAGCTC